GGATTGCGTGAGTGACAATAATGGACATTTATTATTTATTCAGGTAAGCAATGAAATACGAAGCCCTCGTGGAATAGTTGAGCTTTGCAAGCATCGATAATTATATTCTCGAATAGATAATGAATGAGTTAGTCAATTGTTAACCATTTAATGCATTTGAACAATGTTCACAGCCTAATATTATAGAGAGAATCATACTGTTATGCATACTCTATTAGAAATGAAGCATCTTGGGCGGCAATGAGTTTTTTCCCTTGTTTGCATGCATTCATGGTATAAAGCTCACCGTGAATATTTTGCTTTTGATAAGTGCAGTCCTTCTCAACGAAATCTGTAGTACAAAGTTACTCGCATAAAATAAAAGCATGAAAGATAAGATAAGTAAAATCTTCCCGTCGTCTAAAAAAAAGTCACATTCGAATCATCTAATAACAAAACAAATAGTCTCACATATAAAATACAAGCTAAAACCGGCAACAACGTACCATTCAAGTTTTTACGATCATTCTGGCTACACTTATTTGGCTGTAGCAAGTAACTTATTAGGAAAATTTGAATTGCAAGTGAAAGTAATTTAAAAACCCTATACATTATGAAAATATAATCGAATTGTTCGATAGAACGAAGACAACAATGAAATCGAAGTCAATGACCGACAGTTCTTTAATAAATTGATCAATAAATGTTTGTCGCCTAGTCTTCTAGTTGACTTACTTTTCTGCACTTATTTCACATTTATTTCTTTTTTTTATACGTCTCAATTCTATAATGTAGTCTATATTTTACATCCTTTCTATCATTCTAATAATATTTAATTTATTAGTGTGACGTTTCGTTCTATCTTAGAACATCTTCAGACACAATTATGATAAAAGAAAAGCGAAGTTCAAAGACAAAAAACTTTTAAACAATGGTATTACAAAATAAAGAATTTCTTTCGTTCTTTTTAAACATTCCAATGCAAGGGGGAGAAAGATGACTCATTTGCATTGGAATGTTTAAAAAGAACGAAAGAAATTCTTTATTTTGTAATACCATTGTTTAAAAGTTTTTTGTCTTTGAACTTCGCTTTTCTTTTATCATAATTGTGTCTGAAGATGTTCTAAGATAGAACGAAACGTCACACTAATAAATTAAATATTATTAGAATGATTGATAGTTTAGTTGCTTTAATTTTTTCATTATTTAATTTAATAATATCAAATGATATATACATTCTTTCTATATTGTCTTATTGTTTCGTTCTATTGATCGCTCTAGCTTATTCAAGAGACTAGACGATTAAACTATCAGCCTATAGTAATAAGAAATATCATGAGAGAAAGTATAACATTGTTAAGGTTAAACTTGTGAAATATGGCTGTGAATGGCAAGCTTCGGAACGTCCAGAAACACGTCAGGACGTTGGCGAATAGCTTTCCTTGCATATCAATGTGCTAGGGTGAGGGGAAAGACCTGCGATCCAGAGAAGCATATCTCAAGGTGTAAAAATAAGACTTCAAAGCTCGTGGCAACGAGTGACGCTAAATGCTAAAAGCTTCAGCCTTTACAGCAGTGCACCTAGACGAAAATAAAACCTGTAGAAAACTTATCAAGCAGTCAAAACGACGGGAAACAGCTTTCACCGACACAGCTATGTAGAAGCAACGAAGTAAATAGTTTGTCGTCATATCCCATTGCGTCTAAATGGGTGGATGTTGGTGTGAGTGTGTGTGGGTGTGGGAGTCAGTGTCAGTGTGTGCTTGGATGTTGTTCTCTATCTTTCCTCTACCGATACTTGCACTCTACACCCACACCCACACCCACACCCCACACCCACCCAAGAAGACAAATATACAGAATAGAAGAATATTGTGCCTTTCTCAGAAGTCAGCCGTTCTTCCAATTCAAAGTCATCATACAATCTAAATCATTTGAAAAATTTCAGGAGAATATACTGTATTCTGCTCGTTTCTTAATCAAAACATACAGGGTGGATCAAAAGTAACGGAACACAGTATTCCTTTCATTTTTTCCTTTATACAACGATAGTTAGATCTCATATTTGGATCACACATAATAGATGATAATGCTGGGATGCACCAAATTCAAATCCACATTCAATCCTATGGATTTAGTGCATTCCCACATAGTACTCAGAGAATCAATATATCATCAGTCTTTGTCTGTAAGAGTTTGTTGAAGAAACCAACGAATAATTTTTGTGTACTCCTACATGATTGTCACGAAAGTTCTCTATTTTCTGATTGGATTCGATGGATTTGTTCCATGATAATCCGCTTTTGAGTGTTTTTTTTACCGGGTGTGGATGTGGGTGTGTGTTGCGAAAGAGAACAACCACACTCACATCCCTACTGTAATTGTATTTTTTTTATTTAGTTCTCATGACACTTCTAGTAATTTTATTGGAGGAATTCAGTCGTTAAATTATTTTCTTTTCTTTATTGTTTTAAATTATTTATTCTCATAGTTGTGCGTTGCCGTCCGGACAATCTAAATCAGTTGGTCCAATTTGATTGTTTTGTCTGTCATCATTTAGTTATGTTCGTAGAGATCGTTAACTTGATCGGAAAAATGGAAGCTAGTTTACTTTGCTGCTCTTCGTTTAATTACATCGATACTTTCCCTGCTTTTTTAACAGAGAAATAGAGAAAGTTAGTTTAGTTTACTTCTTTTCTATTTTACTTATGCCGATAGTTACCGGATATGTTACAAAAGCAGTAGAATGAAAAAAAACGCTTCCCTTTTCTTTTCTTCAGTGGGTTATCCCATGTATTGCTCATCATTTTTCTGAGAAAGAAACGAAAAGGTTGGTTTTGCTTAATTTTTCTTTTTCATCATTGAGTTATTCTGACAGTAATCGCGCATTTTATAAAAAGAACAATCGAATAACTTAGTTTCGTGTTCTTTTTTTCTAAGAACTATGTTCTTACTGCATCCATTTGTTCTGAGAGAAATAGGAAATTATTATTTAATTTTCGTTTTGTTATTATTGATTTTTGTGTACTCAAAAAGTGAGTACACTCTAGAATCGGTCAGTATGTCCGGCCGTTAACACGATAACTTTTGAAAGGAGAGTCCGATCGCGATGAAATTTTCTACACAGTTTAGTCTTAACAATATCTCGGTCGAGTTCGACGTTGAGAATGATTGGCCGAACTATTGCTGAGTTATTGCAAAAATAGTCATTTTTCCCTATGAGAAGATAGACCCTTCTCTGTTTTCATAAAAAACTTTTCCTATCATAGTCAGATAAAACCCCAACTATTATATACCATTCGATAGAGAATTTCCACGATCTACAAAATGGTATATAAAACATAAAGAAACAAGAAAGCTAACTCGCCTATTGCAAAGATAATTAATCGGAATTCGGTTCTGTTTTTGTCCACGCTCTATATGATCCACAATTAGAGCTCTATCTTCCCATCACAGAGATGATAGTTTGAGGTTTTCTAGAATGGAGAACTCGAATTTATGTTCCATTCGCCTCGAAATCCCATTGGTTGAGCAGTGACCAATAGAAATCAAGTTATAGGAAAAACGAGTTTCTTAGAGTAAATCAAGGTGAAGAGTTCAAATCTGAGCTGTATTTGCCTCCAAATCGTATTGGCTGAGCAATAGCCAATAGAAATTAAGTGTTTACAGAAAGGGTTTGCCAGGACAATTTTGATATCCACACATTCTAGGGTGACTCATCTGTCTCATTCACTTTTTGAAGTACACATAACTCTCGGATTTAAATCCGAGGTTTCCACATTTATTTTTATTTCGTTTTTGTTTTTCTTCTACGCATGAACCAGTTTTCTGATTCTTAAATTCGCTTCGATATAGTAAGTTCTGGATCTGAGCTGTATCCATACTCGTCTATGCGGCGGTCATAGTTTCTGATCGTTTGTACAATTCAAAAAAATGTTATTATCGAAATGCAACGATTGAAATAAAATTAGGTAAAATATTAACAATATCAGCATATTAAAGTAGACTTGTTTTTCTTTTAATATAGCATAATCAATTTCTGATTTGTTTCATTCCATCATATTTATACTATACGAATAATTATGAATGAGATTGTGCACACAATAAATTCAATTCATAAAATATTGAAATCACCATCCTAACATCCGCTTTCACCTCGAAGCAGATCTCAACTAGTCGATATTCTTAACATTTTAAATCTATTTATTAATTCGAATTCACCAAGACAAGAATGGATTCGATTGATTTGTCGACAGTTAAACCGTTTGACGAATTATAATCATTTAATTTCAAGCAAAACTTGGATTCTATCTTATGACGATATCCTTTATGTACACGATAAAGCAAATGACGAACAAAGTATGGGTAGGAGTTGGAATCATTTTAATAGAATGATAAATTTTGAAAAAGAACTAGAACACCGTGAGCCACGATTTTACCAGAAAATAAAAGAACAAAAAAGTTTGAATCAACTCTTTTGTGAACATCAGAAGTTTTTCGAAGAATATCTTCAAACATGTATTTCTTTTCATTCAAAAGTGAAGATGCAAGGTCTGATAGAAAATATTGATGATCTTCTTAGTAAAATTTACGAACTCAAAGAAATTTCGATCACTTCAAAAAGTCAAAAACGTCTTAAGAAAAAAACTAAAATGTATTGAGATATATTTTGATTGTATGAATAGAGCATTCGAATGTTTAAGTTCTCGATTTTCTACAAATGATAATTCATATAAGGAAGAAGCCAATAATAATCTCAGTACCTTTCTAGCTTTCATAGAACAAATAAAACTAAATAGAAGCGATAAAGCCAAGCGCATTACATCAGAAGAAAATGCAGTAATAATTAATATATTGTTGTTTTTTCTTTTTTATTTATCTATTCTATTCAATTATATGACAAGTAGAATTTTCGACCAGTGTCTGTTAGAACCAGCTTGTAAAATTCGGTCATCATCAGTACATCCACTTTAACGACAATATCTATACATGAAATCAAAATACAACATTAATAGCCATAAATGAAACCAAAATTAGTAAGTTCAAGTTATAAGAACTGCAAATATATATATCATAATTTAGTATAAATAAACTTGAATAATAAACGAAAATCATAATAAATCAGAAGAAAATGCAGTAATAATGAATATATTGTTGTTTTTTCTTTTTTCTTTATCTATTCTATTCAATTATTTGACAAGTAGAATTGGGTGTGGGTGTGGATGTGGGTGTGAGTGTGGGTGTGAGTGTGGGTGTGAGTGTGGGTGTGGGTGTGGGTGTGGGTGCAATTGGAGAACACCCACACCCACACCCACACCCTAAATAGTGAAACCTATCAAAAATTACATCATACATTACTTTAGAAGCCAACAAGAAGAGAAAATAAAAACAATGTACAGTCAAATGATCAATTCATTCAAAAGCAAACTACATATGAACACAAAGATCAAATTTATCTTCATTATACATTTGAAAGTGGACCATTATTAGATTTCAAAAAAGAATGTCGTAAAATATGGCAAAAACATTATATTTATCCAGGATCACGTTGCCAAAATACACGACTTATTCTTGGTACTTTATTAAATCGAACTTTACAAAATCTATTAATACACAAGAAGCCTAAACGTGATATGTTGACCACGATGCAACCAACTACAGAAGCAGCTCATCAAACAATACAAGAATGATTCCATCAATGAAACAAATTGTTTTCCATCGATCAAAAAAAATCAAAGACTATTTTTCTGTTTCTTTTTCTTTTTCGCTTGTGTTCTTTTACTATTTAGATCCTGTTTATTGTCGAATATTGTTATGTACATATTTCGTTTTTTTTCCTGTTACCTATGTGAAATGTTTCATGTACTATACTTTCTTGTACGTATCATTATTCAAACAGATAAATTAGACTATTCAACATATTAACTAGTATTTCAATAGTGCTAATGTTCATAGTTTTGTTACAGCGGTACCTTGTTTTACATTATTCTTTTTGAAATCACAACTATTTCATTTATACTTTATATTCTAGATATATACTAACCACTACAATGTCTACAACTCAGAATGCTTTCGACGTCGCACCAATAATCCAACAACTGAGGCAAGTATTTCCTAAACCAAATGAATAAAACAATACCCGTAAACCTCTGAGCTAAACTTATTTTTTCCCTACCATTCATTAGGAACCGACACCATACGTAGTCAAACCGGCGTTACTCTCTTACAAGCAACCGATACAAACGATGAAAACAATACTCATCTTAATCAAATATAATCTAATGACGCCGTAATGATAAACCAACCCACAACAGCACTGGACACTACAAACATAATCGCAAACAAAAAAATTGTGGCCACTACTCAACAAACAAATGACACCACCAGAACTGGACGCCCACATAGATGAAGACAACATTCATAATCATCCCTTTTACAACAACACTTTGTAAGTAATCCCAACAACAAAACTACACACCAAACGCTTCACACACAAAATGTTCAGTTTAACACTTTTTCTCGCAAACATTTTCAGCAAATCCGGTCAACCCAGCACAGTCAACAGTAACAACTTGACTCGCAGTCAAAACATACAGGCATGGATAAGTTTAATTTCCACACTCTTCGAAACCGGTCTTGCTAGCTTTTGATTTGACTTTCTTCAAAGTTATATCTTAATAAATCGAGAATCTCTTACCTTGTCATTGGAAGCTTTGTTTTTCCAAAACTTTCAGATGATAATTAATTAGGTTTTATCAACTAGTTGAGAGTCTTCTCTTAAGACTTTCGACATCGGTAACTCCTAGTAGAAGAGTTATATATTCATAACATCTTTTAATCTTAAGCAATTGATATGTGATTTCTTTAGCGGTAATCGAAACCGGTCTTGCTAGCTTTTGATTTGACTTTCTTCAAAAACATCTGAAATAATCCTAAATTAGGTTATCGTGGTAACTTATACACACCCACTTTTAATGTGAGTGTATCTACTTGGGTTTTCTCAAAAACTTCTAGTAGATATTTCAAGTATCATGTTTGGATTCAAAATTTACTTTTGGATCTCTTTGAACTGATACTAAGGCCACTTAATAAGTTTGAGTTAGAAACATCTGAAATAATCCTAAATTAGGTTATCCTGGTAACTTATTCACACCCATTTTATTTATACGGGTTTTCTACTTAGTCTTTGACTTTGTAGAATTTAGGTGTCATGCTTTGATTTCAATTTATCATTGGGATCTCTCAAGCTGATGTCTCTGCCACTTGATAAGTATTTGAGATAAGTAACATCGAAATAATCTAAGGTTATCGTGGTAGCTTTATCACACCCACACCCACACCCCTCTTCTACTTATTATTGGAAGTTGTATAATATAACTTTCTGATGATTCTATATATTATGTCCTCTATTAAATTAGGAGTTCTTACTAACTCCTGACTTTAGTTGTACGTAGTAGGAGAAAAATTTATATTTTCCATCAAAAAATCTTAAGCAATTGATAACTGACCACTCTAGCTCTGGTCGAAACACGTGTCTTGCTAGCTTTTGATTTGACTTTTATTAAGTCATATCTACTAACACACCCACACCCACACCCTCTTTATGTGTTTGCATGGTACACGCAACAAGAAGATTCATTTCTGTGTTTGTTTTGATAAATCTCTAAGTAACGGAACGCAATAGTTGAATATCTCAATTTCAAGGCATTTTATTTTTGAATTCAACTATTCGAGTTGATTTAGATAACATTCTTCAACAATATCAAAAGAAAAATATTTCTGAAGTATTTATTTTTAAAATTGTGAAAATGAATTGGATGATATACATATACATTCATAAAATATTGGACAATCTATTGTTGTTCACAAGAAGTGATTATAATCATAGAAAAGAAGTAATCAATGCGATGGGAAGTAAAATATAGTATAGAGAGTTAAGAAAAGAAGCAAACTTGAACAATAGCTAGGATACGTAGCCATAGATTCTTTCACATTTGGAATTAAAAAATAATGAATACTTTCATCTTTAAAAGAACATACTACTCCTTGAGTTGCTTTTTCTTGATCTGATACTAGAACGAGTTGATTTTCATTTACCCATGCAACACCTTCTATATTACAATATTGTGTTTCACACGTATTGCCATTGCCAATTATTTGTGGTATATTGTACACACTACTTCTGTTTGATGGTGTTATTCGAAAGTATGGGCTCTGATCAATCTCTTCTATTGTACCTATCCATACTTGACTATTTTCTTGACTTGTTACAGCAATATAGATCAATGAATTTTGAGAATAAGTTGATACTGCAGAATAATCAACAAACTCAAGATCAGAGGGTAGATTGACGATACCTACTGATACCCATAGACAAGGGTCTAAAAGAATTGGGAAGAAAAATTGTTTTTCTTGAAAAGAAACGGTTGACTCACCATTATGTATAGCTTCATGTTTCTCCAATACAATAAGCTTTCCGTGTCCGACAACATTAATTGAATGGTTGTGTGCAGTTTGAACCGTACATTTATTAGCTTCGCATAATGCAAGTAAATAACTTTTACCCATCTTGTGATGTGTCATAAATTGAAGTCCTTCAAATCCTTTACTACTTGAATCAAAAGTCCAGTTCACTTTACATGATTGGATAAGACGTATGGACGGAAATGAATGATCTTTTGCTATTTGAATTTCAAAAATTTTCGAGTTATATACACCTGGAGTATTAGTCGATGGAATCGTTTCTTGTACTATAAAATATGTGTCTTGCAATGAATTGTAGGTTATACCTTCAAATTCTGATTTAGCTTTATTGAATGTATTATTGGACCAATAGAGCAATTTGTCAGTACAATTCATAGTTCGAGTAGCCAACGGCGTACAAAAGGCACCGATTAGAATGGTATTGTCAAATACAACATATATTATAAGACCATCTGGACGAAGTACAACATCAGAAGCTTCAAAACGGTCAGGAACATAGGACACATTTCTTTGTTGTTCATTGTATCTGAGAATACAGAACATGTTGTTTAGAATGAAAGAAAATAATGAATATCATACAGTAATGAATTATTAAACGAATCACGAATTTGTTGTTCATGCAATAATTTTAATGTTTGATTTCTATTACACTTATCTTCGTTTTTATAAATGTTAATAGAATCGATGACAGTTGAAACGAATAGTATAACAAGAATAGACCCGAAGAGGTTCATGTTAATTTACGTCGTTTTGCTTTTGTGCTGGTCTATAATAAAAATTAATGCTTTGAGTGTAGTTTTTAAGACATAAAAACATGAGCAAAAAGGAGCCGCTCTAATTGTATCTGAGAATCTTCGTCGTGTTAACAACCTCCCGTGACAAGATTAGGGGAGCAGCATCCTAATTTGTTTGTCATGATCTTCATGGTCTATGTTCATTTTTCTGGCAAGACACTTTAACATTTATGAACAAGGGTGTTTCTCAATATAACTTCACTTTTTGAAAAATATTGAAGAACACGATTCAAATTTGGTTCTTCTTGTAGAAAGCTCATCTGCAATAGGAGTCCGAAAACTTACAATATGATAAATAGTTGAATATCTTCACTATGTTTTCATCAAGTGAAAGATTTTTTTCCTGTTATTTGAAGACATAATACTAAGTTTCTATTATCATACAAGAGAAGATTATTAATACTACTCTAATTTATTACTGTTTGCTTTAATACAAGAGTTTATTTTTTCAAGCACGATGAATATTGTGAGTGTCGGAATTCCGTAATTTGATAGTTACTTCGTAGGTTTCGAGTCATTTCGTAATTATGTTGTATTCTTTATGCTATCGAAGTATCTTATGTTGCATAATGTTGTAGTTCTTTCTTTCTTTAATACTATCGGGGTTTTAGAGATATTTTTAAAATTTTTATCACGGTCTCTAAGCTTTCTTCTATTTTTTTTGACTTCTTGGAAGTTTTACATGATTATCCGGAAGCTTTAATGAATGCAATTTGTCCAACAGTGGGGAAGCTGCGAATAAATCTTCCTAGGCATGGGAAAATTTACGGTTATAGGAAACGATAATAATTTTACAAAAAGTTACTCAATGTTTACTCTGTAAATGAAACCAATGAAACTTTTTCTTATTATAAGAAAAAGTACGACTGCTTTTATGGAAACATAGTGAAGATAGTTAGTCTCTTTATATAAAGACTTTAAGGACACATGGACTTTTGAATCACATGATAAAAAAGACTTTTGTATTCTGAAAATTCGGATTCCTGTAGGTCATTTCACAACCAAGTAATAATGCGTTGCTTTTGAACAAATATTGATCAGTGGCAGGCCAGATGCTGGTTAGAGGTCAGCCATCCCCTTCCTCCACTGCGAAATTTTCTGAACATGTATTTTATCCGCTAAGTAGGGGCGATCGAAGGTTCGTAGGGAGGGCTGAGCCCTCCATAGCCCAAAGCAACGGCTCCATCACTCATTTTGGTAGCAGAAAGGTAGCATTTGGTAGCTTTCGCTGATCGAAGAAGACTTATTTAAAGAATGAAAGTCATATATAATTCCGTTGAGCAAAAGATTTCTAATCAACTAGGATCTTTCAGAATGTAGCGAGTACTATAGGAAAAATTGCTTTTTTTTATAATTTAACTGAGACTCACCTCACTCGTTCGTTTCCTTCCAGAATTATAGACGTTACCGGTAAGCCACAAAAACAATCAAATGGTTTCCAACTATTCTATAATGTTTCACAGTAGAAGAAATCGATCATGGTTAATCTAGGGATGAAATTTAATTTCAATTGTGAAGTGATTCTATATCACAGAATTTGCATTTTTGAGAGCCTAATCTCTGCTATTGCAAGGCGTTCAGAACATTTATTCGGCAACTCTCGATCTTATGACGCCTGACCACTTTTTAATCAAACGTCGTCACTAGGTTGGCGGTGATTAATTACTCCTATCGTGACATGTTATGCGAAGAATTCTTCAAGATCATTTTATAGATTATTGTGACTCTCTGGAAAACGTTTATAACCATTAAATAGAACAAGCTAGTAAGATCAGGCTTACTTAGGCAGAAAGGCAGCCACTCTTCCGATTGAATAATTACATTTGAGTTTAAAAGAAAAAAATATAAGTACAGAACATGATTCTCGATATTTTTTTGAAAACCTTACCTGATTGAAAGTCTTCTAGTCAATTTAATTTAATAGGGTTTTCATTCTTTAGTTATTGGTTTTCAGAATGACGAAAAGCGCAGGTCGGTTGCTTGTTCCGATCAAGAGTTATTAGAAAAACACTCCCGACTTGTCGACTTGAAATGGAGACTAACTAAATCTTCATATTACATCAATGCTCTGTTACTAGATATTATTCAGATTTTAGTAATTAACTATAAAGTAAAAATCCTCAGTCGAAAAATTGGGTAGTTATACCAGTTATGGATTCTTGGGCATTTCGATCCAATCATAAATCATTATTCTTCATGAACATACAAGGTCATACAGAAAATCATATGCAAAATTCTGGTTCTAGATGTCTTACATTATTTCTTAAATACAGCTCTGTGCAAGATCCGACAATATAATCATGCATGGTCATAAAAATCTTAGTGTAGAACTTCAGTATATTTTATCACTCTCTTATAATAATTTACAACTCTTTAGACCTCTGCACATTGGGAGTAATTGCAGAGCCCAATTAGAGCTCAATCCAAAATGTATATGTGCCAATAACTACTATTGAAAGCCGTGTAAAGTAACTCGATGTGAGCACACGCTTACACCTACACCCTTGTAGTGATATATAAAAGGGCTCTATTCTAAAACTTATATTTTTATATTTATATCCTAACACCTCCCATGGCAATGAATGGGTACTCACTGATATTTTGAAGCGCTCATCTAGAAAAAATGAGAAAACAAAAGACATTAAAACTCATTCATATGATGAATCAAAAAAGTAAACTGGTTAACATGGATAAGTTCTTATATGAAAAGGTTTTAACTCATTGACTAGGCAAAAAGTCATCATGTGACACGTTTTAATGCATGTCTATATGTCAATTAGAAGGTATGGATACGTGTGGGGTCTACATTTATCTTTTTTTCACTCGCACGCACCTGTACCCCCACAGACACACATTGACACCCTTACCCCATCAGGTAAAAAGACAGGGACTCGTGAGGAAAAACAGGTTTTTTCCATAGGTTTTACACGATATTCCTTGTCTTGAGTCGCTTTCTCATCTGTGTTATTGGGATAGGCAACTGTGCTGGATGCAAAATTCGATGCTAAATTAAATGGTGCCGGTGTAAAGGTATCGGCGAACAGCTGAGTTTGTAGGCATGACTGTGGGCGTAGGCATTGGATGGGGTTCATATTCTTATACCTGAGCTACACTCACACTGACGCCCAGACCAAAACGGTCATACTAGAAAGAAATTCTACAACGGGTATCGAGAAGTGAAGTTATTTGTGCCATGACTTATGTGTAGAATGCAGAATACAAAGACTCACTGTGGATGGTGTTACTAAACAAAAGACCGCTGGTAAAAGGGTATTCCTATCTCATGAACATACAACAGGGGAATTTTAGTAGACAAACAGCGTCACATGTATGCCATCGCGGGGATGATTGTGAAACTAGAAAGTTATCTTATTTTAATAACTGGCATTCAAAGGACTAATCAAACTCTAGATATTCCTCACTATTAGTTGCTACAGTAATCGGATCAAACAAAAGTGCTGAAATAAAATGTAAGAATGGCAAAATTGTATTCTTCAGAACTATACAGTTGCTTGGAGTACTCTTCAAAATTTGACAATTCATGCAGCATCCGATTCTGTATTCACCATAATCATGTAGAACTAAAGCACAAT